GGGGGGTCAGTCAATGGCGACACATGGCGACGGGCGGCCACAGGAAGGGGCGGCGACGCACGTAGCAGAGCTTGATGATGGCATTGGCCTTGACGTCCACGTCGATCGAGCGGACCTCCTTGCGGATGGTCTCCAACTCGATCGAGATGTACTTGGCCTCATTGCGCGGGTTCGCGCGAAGGCCGCGGATGATATCCTCGAGGCTCTTCTCGAACATCGTCGGGCCGGGAGGGGGAGGGGGGGGGGGGAGGGGGCAAGGGGCAGGAAGGGGGAGGGGAGAAGAGGGCCGTTGGGCACTTCCGAGGGGATGTGCCTGCGACCTGGCCCCAGATTGCTCTGCTCCTCGCCCGAAGACCGTCACACCGAGGCAGCGAACGCCAGCCCCACGCTCGCCGAGTGCCTGCGCCTTTTGCACACGCAGGTTTGTGTCCACTAACACAGCCCTGGCATTCGGGCCAAGTCCCCGGTCTGGGGCCTGCTGAAAGAAGGCTCCTCCCCCCTTCGCCAGGCCGCCGGCCCGGCGTGCCAGAACCAGTGACAACCGCCCCCTCGGCCGGCCGCGGGGCCCCCCGCCGCGCTCTCGTCTCTGCCCCAACAAGCTCCCCGGCCGGGCGCCTGAGCCCCCCCCCCCTGGGAGAAGCCCCGGGGCCGTGGTCGCACGAAAGAAAACAACGGCCCAGGGCCCCCGACGAAGAGAGCCTTACTGCACACGAATAGTGGAAAGCCGGGGCTGTGGTCGCCTGCTCGCTTGCCCGCCCGCAGGGAGGCCACCCGCAAGCGTCGGCGCCCAGCCAGAGAGTGCCCCCCCCCCCCCCCTGCCTCCCTTGGCCGGGGTGTGGCAGCCGCTCGAAAAGAGGGGAGAAGCATCACAACAATGGGGATTCGGTTAAGGGCGCCGAGCGTGATCAGCGGGCGTGACGTTCCAGCGAGCAGCCAACCCACCTACGCTCGCGGGGGGAAAGACGCCGCTGTCCCCGGAACGCGGCCCCCTCCCCCCCCCGGGGGGGGAGGGGGAACAAAGAAGCAGGACGAGGGGCGGTCGAAGGCAGGTCGGGATCCGGCCCGCTCGGGGAGAGGGCAAGGCGCAGCGGGCCGGCCATCGGCATTTCCGCGGCCGGCAGGCAAGAGAGCCGACAGAGAATGCAAGGGCGGTCGGGCTTCCCCGCGAGCTCTCGCCCCCAGTGGGTCACGCGCTCGCCTGTGTTTGCGCCCGGAGCACTGGCCAGTGCGCAGCAGCGCAGCCACATTATCTGGCCCATCTGCCGGCCGCTTGCGCCCCGGGCGCGGCAGGCGGGCTTCTTGTGGCGCCCGCCGGCCAGGCAGCCTCTCCAGGCCACCAACACCTCCCTGGGGATGCCCGCTTTGACAGCCCCCCGCTCCCATCCCGCCACCGGCTAGAGTCCCCCTCCACTCCCCCGCTCCCCGGCTCCTCTCCCTCTCCTCCCCTCTCCCCCCCTCTCCCCCGCCCCCCCCCCCTGCTCGACTCTGTGCAAACACCAATCCAACCATCCAGCCACACCAACAGCAACGACAGCAGCCCCAGCGCAACATCCAGCGCGCGCCCCAACACCCGGACCATGGCCCAGCCCTCGCCCACCCCCTCCCTCAACCCCTTTTCTACCCCGCCGCTGGACCCCGGGTCGTCGCGGCACAGCGCCCACCTCGGGTCGCCGCTGATGCCGGACGACCAGGCCCCCCCGCGGCAGTTTGACTCGATGGCCCCGACTCTCGAGCAGAAGTATGCCCCGCACATGACCGGCGCCCCGCTGGAGGAATACCGCCTGCTGCAGCCGGAGTCGGCCTCGCGCGCGCGGCACTTCAGCACCACCGCCCTGGCGGCGGTGCTGGTGGTGTTGGGGCTGGCCATCTTCTCCATGGGGATATGGTCCCTGGTGCATATGAGCCGCCTCGGGCCGGATGCCGATGAGATTGACATCTCGTTCTGGGCTCGGCGAACCATGCTGGCCATCATGGTCTCCTTCACGACCCTGGTGCCGGGAGGTACACACAATGTCCCCCGGCCTCGCTCCCCTTCACTCGCTTTCTTTTCTTTCCCTTTTTTTTTTTTTTCCTCCGCCGCCGGCGGGGATCTCATCCTGAGAGCGAAGACTGACACGAGCGCCTGGATGCCCGTGCGGCATCGCCGCTCGCCGCTGCGCCTGCCCCGCCCCCTCCCGGCCCCGCCCCGCCCCAGCCTCGCACACCATCCATGTTATCTTCTTCAAGAGCGACGAGGACGACACCTTTGGCGACTACGGCAGCACGCGCCCGACTGGCGGGTCCTCCTCGTCCAGCCTCTGGCAGCGGGCCATGGCCGCGGTGGGCCTCAAGTCGACCGGCCCCGGCGGCGCGGAGTACTCCCAACTCAACACCAACGACGATGGCCTGCTGGACTCGTCGATGGGCGCGGACCCCTCCGGCCTGGCCAGCAACAGCTCCATCCAACACAGCCTGCTGGAGGACGACGGGTACGAGGGGTACGACTCGTACCAGCGCCAGTGAGGAGACGGGACGCACAAAAAAAAAAGACCACAAAGCAATACATACATACATACTCGCATTTGGCTTTTCTCTCCCTATCCAAGAACAGAGGTGGGTGGTTAAGGAGGTGTATATGAAGGAGTAAAAAATACAAGTGGAGGGGGGGTCCAAGGGCAGCCCCGCGCCCGGGGGGGGGGGGGGGGGGGAGGGCGGAAGAGGGTAGAGAAGGAGTGGTGCCGTGCGAGCGAGCGACCGAACGAGCGGATGAGCGCGTGTGCGTCAAGGAGGGGAGAGGAGAAAGAGAGGACAACCAGGGGCCGAAGGGAGGGGGGGGGGGAGGGGGGAGGATCGACAAATGGCCAACACACTCCCCCAGGGACACCACCTCCTCCGCCTTCTCCTCGCCGATCGTCCTCGGTCCAACCCTGCTGAACGAGGACACGCGAAATTCGCCTTGCCAGCGGAGAGGCGAACAACACACATACACACACACACACACGCACACGCGCGGCAGGAGCAAAAAGAAGGAGAGATGGCCATGCGGGGGAGAGAGAGAGAGGAGGGAGAGGAATGAATGTGTATCATGCCCCCACCCCCTCCGCCCCCGCTCGGACTACCCTCCTCCTCGAGGCGCCCCTGCGGCAGGCGTGCGCGGCAAACGGTGCGCCAGGCCAGAGGCAGCACAACATCTCACTTCCTTCCGCCACCCCTGCACACCCACAGAAGGAGGGGCGGCCCACTTTATGAAGCGCCGAGGTGACATTGGCCGCGGGCGCCGAGCAAGGGGATCGGCGCACGCAAGTGCCGACCACCATCGGGGAGAGGGGGCCGGCGAAGCCAAGCGGAATCTACTGCAGGCGGTGGGCGAACGACAGGAGGAGAAGGAGAAGAAGAGGGAAGGGGAAGAGGGTTAGGCGCGGTGCGGCGCGGCGCGGCAGAGAGAGGGGGCAGGGAGGGGGAAAGCGGACGCATGCCGCTGCGCCGATGGCAGCTGCCGGAATGATGCATGCGGCGCAGAGGACACACACAAGGGGGAGAGAGGGGCACGCACGAGAAGGCATCCACTGCTTAGTAGTAGATGTTCTGGGACTCGTCGGCGATGCACTTGAAGTACTGACCGCACTCCTGGCAGCGGCCCTCGGTGTTGACGGGCATGGTCCAGTACTCCATGTAGCCGGGCTCGTCGATGTGGGGGCAGAGGCCCTGGCAGCCGACGATGGCGGACTCCTCACCGCAGGGGATGATGATGGGGTTCTCCTTGGTGCCGAAGTGGGGGTTGGGGTTCGGCTCGTTGGAGGCGTCGAACTTGCCCTGAAGCATGCGGATGTACTCGATACGGGAGTTACCGGTCAGGAGATCGATGTTGCGGGGGATCTCGTAGCGGGGAGTGCGGTAGCCGTGCTCTGTGTGGTCATGCCGGAGGGGGGAGGGGGGAGGGGGGGCGGCGACGGTGGGGGGGGGGCATACGAAGGAGGGGGGAGGGACAGGAGACTGTAAGCAAGTGGAGGTGGGGAGGGGAGGAGCAGGGGCCTGGTCGAGAGAGAGAGAGAGAGAGAGGAGGAGGGGCAGCGAGGATGGCCAGCGGGGGCGCGAGAGGCAACGCACCGAAGTAGGCGGGGCTGCCGATGGGCTTGTACTCCTCGGCGTTGGGGTCGGGGTTGATGGGGGCGGTGGCGTAGTCGACGCCGTCGTCCTCGGGCTGCTGGGCGGTGTTGTTGTTACCGCCGGCCGCGGCCGAAGCGAAGCCACGGAAGGCCACGCGCGAGGCGGTGCGGGTGGAGGCACTGACGAGGAAGGTGGCGGTGCGAAGCATCCTGCGAGGCGCATGCCCGCCAGAGGGGAGGGCGCGATGGAAGGGACCGAGGAGAGGAGAGGGAGTCGATGGAGGAGGGGGGGGTGTGAGAGAGAGAGAGAGAGCGCGCGCGCGAGGAGGGCAGATGCGGGGCTCTCACACCGATGGGAGGCAGCGTGGGGCAGGCGCAAAGTAGGAGGGAGGGGGAAAGGAAGGAGGAGCGGCGGCGGCGGCGGGAGGGAGGAGGCCGAGCTTGCGCGCGGAAGGAAGAGAGAGGCCCGGCCAGCCGGGACTTGGAGACCCAACACACGCATGGGAGAAAGAAAGCCGGAAGGCGGCGTCATGCGTGTGCGTGTGCGTGCATGCGCATGAGCGTGTCGGCCCTTCCTGTCCTTGGTAAGACGCTATGCGTCTCCACGCAAGCGCGTGTGTCTACACACACGCACACACGCGCGCGCGCACACACACACACTGCTCGCGGTGCCTGCATGCCCCTCGTAGCCGATGGCGGCCGGCCGAGGGAAGGACGATGTAGGCTGACGCCCTGCAACAAGGGGCACACAACGCGCATGCGTGTGTGCATGACGGGCGGGAGGAAGAAAGGGCAGGGTGCGGCGAGGGGAGGGGGAGGGGGGAAGCGCGCGGTGGATGGGCGGAGAGCAAGGGGGGTGGAGGGGGGAGGGGGGGGAGGAGCGGAGGAGGGGCCGCACGTTGGAGAACAGCAAGGGAGTCAGGGGGAAACAAGACGATTGCTGGGTGCTGATCTGGCCACGGACCAGGGAGGGGGAGGCACTCGAAAAATGCTCCCCCCCGCCCCTCCTCCCTCCTGGCGGACATGTCCGGCGCCGAACCGGGCACAGGGCGCGGGCGAAGAAGCACACAGGCACACCCCGTAGCAGCACGCCCGAAGAAGCCGCCACCCGGGGACCGGGGCGGGGGGGCGGGGGGACAAAGCGGGGCACAGGAGAGGGACATGAGCGGGCGCAGCAGGGAGGCTGTCCGGGGATGCATCCCCGGGCCTGGGGCCACGGACGGCGGCCGCGCATCGTCTAACATGCGGCCAGGGGGGGCGGATGGGCGAGCGGACCGGCCGTGCCGTAACAGTCACAGCGCAAGGGTCCCAGCGCGCATCCAGACACACGCACGCCCAAGCACGCAACATGGAAGGCGGGCCAGATGCAGCAGCGACGCGCATGTAGTCCCGGACACAGGCGCGCGTTGCGAAGGCCCCCCGCCCCCGACGCACCCGCGTCCCCGCACCTGACTCAAACGTGTGTCTCCCCCGCCAGGGACCTGGTAGGGTTGGCCGACCTCGCGATGGAGCCTCCCCCCCCTGGCGCCGGAGAAAGCCGGCCCGCCAGGCGGCAGCCACACACCAGGGCGACGAGGGGGATGCGCCGTCGGCCCGCCCCGCAGACCTGCCCGCGGCCCTGCTCGCGAGCGGCCAGCCCCCCGGCGACGCCGGCCGCCGAGCAAATGCCCCACCAACCCCGCCTCTGGGACCGGAGAACGTGCGGACCAAGCCGGAGGGTCTTCTTGATGGAGACCCGAGGAAGGTGCGGCAGGCCCAGAGGCAGGTGCCTGTGGACAGGGGGCCCCTGCGCGGCTCGGCGGCCGGCGGGCGATGGGCGGAGGAGCGGTGGAGAGCGGAATGCCAGTGCGCCGATGGCCGGCACCAGCACGAGGGGGCCGACGGGCAGAGCGGGCAAGGGGGGGGGGGGGGGGGACAAGCAGAGGCGCTTCACACCCAGGCGGCGCCCATCATCGCCATCATCCCAAGGGGAGGGTAGTAAAAACCCCAGCCCCGATGACTAATTCAAATATTTAGTATCCGCCCGTGGGTGTGGTGGTGTGATGACATTGTGGCAATGGTGTTCCCGCGTCCTGGGTGTGATTCGGCCCTATTCGGCGTGATCTCCCGGGCGAACGATATCGGAATCTATTTCCGGCCTTCGGGGGGGGGGAGGGGGCGGCACGGAGACGCGGGCCCGGAGACAGGCAACATCGCCACCGCGGCTCCCCTTCTCATCCTCCGCCTGGTCCCCTGGCGAATGCTGCTCCCTCCGCACGCCGGGGCGGGGGGGGGAGGGGGATACGCCCCCCCATTTGGAGGGCGGAAATGGGGCCTCCGATGAGGGGAAATCCGAAGGACGGTCGCCGACGGACAGACACAAACAGACAAACGAAAGAGGCTCAGAGACAGAAGGACGGCTGCCGGCTGTTCTCCGGGTGGACATGCGCCGTCGAGAAAAGCCCGCGCGGAGGAACTGCCACTCGGGGTGGGGCCCGGGGGCAGGTCCCCGGCTCCGGGCCGAGGCGTTCTGTGACCGGACGCGGGCGAGCCCCCGGGCGCACCAACAAACCCCACTGCTGGCTGGGGCGGTCGCATGTCGGATTGTGTCTCCGTCATTCGTTCGCTCGGCCCCCGGGAATGGACGGTTTGAGGACCGCACCCAGCGTGACCCCTGCCCCTCCCGCCCCGTGCCCGGCGATCTGGGGGGATGGAAAGGGGAGTCCGAATCCGGGGCGCCGGCTCTCCGCCGCCGGGGCGCGGGGGGGGGGGGGGGGCCGGGGGGGCGGCGGGGCTTGGGGGCGCGCACGCGGTCGAGGGCGGTCCGCGGGTTTCGCCGACTGACGCGCAGGCCCGGCCCGGCCAGCGGATATCCACCCGCCGCCACACGCTGACCGGGCGCTCGGGGGCCCTGGCCCCGGCCGCGGCGACGGCCGGCATCCACGCCCCCCAGGACGGTGGCCGTCCCAAAATGGTCGATATGAACAGATGCGCCCCCTGTGCAGATGCACCGTGTTCATGCATGGCCCATACACACATGGAGGGGAGGGTCCTTGTCGGACGGACACTCTCACATCCGCAGGTACACGCGT